TTAAAAAAAAATGTGTGGAATCCTTGCTTAAAATTGTGGTGCAAAGTAGTGGGGTTGACTTTCACTATTGCAGTGATTCTTACTAAGTGAAACGCACTATGAATGATAAGGCATGTGTTTTTGCAAATTGAAGTTGTGGTTTGCACTACTCTGTGTATATACAATATATCCGCTAGTGTTCCTTGGAGAGTTTGAACTTCAAAGTTTGTCTCTGATCACCTTCGTCAATTTTGTTTAAGTTGAGAAGGAAAAGATTTTATGAATCTAGTGTATCTTGTGTGCGATTTTATTTTATTTTCTTCCATCCTTAGGCATAATTACATATGGTTTCCTTCCTAAATTTGAACTATTTGAGTCTAAAAATTTTTGTAAAATATATTTAGGATAAAATCGAATTTCTTTCCTTGTTTCGAAATATTGTGAGAAATTATTTGTGTGGGAAGTTTTATTGTGTTTGAATTTTAGATTTGGAGGGATCAGTTTTTGCTCTAAACCGCCCAACTTGCCAACGTCGCTTTCTCTCTCCTCACCTTGAAACTCAGAAACTGCTTTTTGCATTTATCTATGTCAGAACCTCTTTTAAACTGTCACGCTTCTCCATTCTTCTTAATCATTCCTTCTCATTCAGATTGTATCCCTTTTACTCTCTCTTCTCTCTTTAGTCGATTGAAACCCTAATTTCACCATACTCAATCACTATCTCTCTCCCATGGTTGGAAGCAAAGATAAGACAAAAAAGCAGCTCAAGAAAAACAAAGAGAAAAGATTGAAGCGTCGTCGTCTCTCTCTCACTGCAAGTTCCACCCATGATTCACCACCGCCAACAAAGTCTCCGTCTCGCGAATCCACTCCTCCAAAAAAGTCTACTTCTCTTACTTGTTCTCCATCTGGTTCTCCGTCGAAATCAGACACGCTTGCCAAGAAATTTGAACCTTCTCCCTTATCCACTGGTGTACCTGGTCTATCTGGATTTAAAGAAGTTCCGGCGGTACAAACTCAAGGGGAGTCATCTGCAATTTCGGCATTCACCACCAAGTCAACCACCAAGACAACGACGACAGAGGGTGATAAAGACGACCCCACGGCGACCCTTGTTGAGGTTCACTCCGACCAACCAACTCCTCCGCCTAGGGCTCCTGTGCGTTGGTTCCTCGTCGCAGAGGCAAAGAACCATTTGATGAGGCTCTTGCACCACCAGAACTGGAGGATGACGCCTACGACCTCGAAAATTCCTTCACTAACAGGTTCTATACCGAGGCTTCTCATGATAGGTTTGTGCGTTTTGAGTCTTATGGATTTTGGTCTGAGCATCCTATTAAGGATGATAAATTTGTTGAACTTGGTGTCCTTCCTCTCATTGAGTTTGTTGGTCTGTTGAAGTCTGTTGTGAATCTCGGTTCTTTTTGTGATCAAGTTGTTCATGAGTTTTATGCCAATCTCACCCCTGTTGTCTTTGAATCTGGTTGTCCTCATTTTCACAAACTCTTTTTACTTAATCGGATTATTGACTTATCTTCTGCTTTGATCAATGCTCACTTGGGTCTACCCTATGATGTCCCTTCTTTGTTTGAGGGTTGATCTTGATGTTGTAACCCAAGTCCTTACTGCCAACCAACTTGATACTTGGCCCGGATCTAACCTGCCTGTGAATTCTCTGTGTATTGTTGCTAATCTTCTTCACAAGATTGGCGCAGTGAATTGGACCCCCGCGTCCAACAAGACCTTTCTCACTGAGTTGCAAAGCAAGGTCATTTATTGGGTGATGGTGGGCCAGTCTTTTAACTTTGGTGAGGTTGTGTTAGAGATCCTTCAGTCGTTCATTTCCAATATTGAGACTCATCGTTCTTTACCCTTTCCCTGCTTGATCTCGTCGTTCCTTGCTGCTCAGGATTTTTCCTTGAATCCCCGTTATAATGATTCTCTTAAGCCTCCTGGTAAGGATTTGGTTGTGAGCGCTCGTACTTTGAGTGAGAAATTTGCTCCCAAGCAAGACTTGACTCCCTCGCTTATTCCCACCAAGTGGGACGAGTTTGTTGTTCAGCAGTTGGCTGAGTGAGACGAAATGGCCAAGAAGGTTGCTGCCCAACAGTCGTATATGTGTCAGGTTCTTCAAGCAGTCAAAGGCATGAACCGCAAGAACTCGGGGACAGGCCCTTCGGCATCCCGTAGTTCGAAAAAGGGGGAGAAAAGAAAGAAGGATGCTGCTGACAATGATGAGGACTCGGACTCTGGGGGAGATTCAACTGACGATGCTATTGACAAGTATGAAGCTGGGAAGTAGTTAGCTTGTTTTGCTTTTGAGTGTTCTGAGGGATGTAGGGAGGTCTTTATGTATTAAAAAACCTCGTGTTTCATTTGCTTTTGTGATGTGATGGTATTTGCTGCTTGCTACTATTTGTGATGATTTGATTAACTCTTGTTGGTTGGTTGTTTTAATGAATAGCAGTTTGTTTTGATTGATTTGGTTGTGTTTTGTTATAACTGAATGCAGGAACTGAGGGGGAGAACTGTATTTGTACACAATCATTATTTTTGTGATTAGTTGGCTAACCCCTGGATGTGGTTTTACTGTCTGGTGCTTGTTGTTTTCACTTTTCAGGAATGCTTTGAGTCTGTTGTTTTCGAACTAGATGCCAAAGGGGGAGATTGAAAGAAATTTTTGTTTAGTTGTAACGCCCCACTTTTATTTTGACGAAAATCAAAAAGTCAACTTAAATTTTTCAAAATTCTTTTCATAAATCAGTGGCGCTACTCGAACTAAATCACATAAATAACGTAAATCATAAATTCAATGTTTTCATAAATCCCAAGTTCATCCAAATTATTCATAAGGGAACATCTCCCAATCCACAGTTTTAAAATTCCGAAGTTATAAATCATAAATACCAAAGTTCCCAAGTCATAATTAAACATAAATAAATCCAAGTCTACTAGCATGAGGAATAAACTAAATGAAGTCAGTCAAAGATCAACACCACTCGTCTCTGTCTCGTCAGCCAACACCTGCTTAACCTGCATCCATGAAGACCATGTGGAAGTGAGCACAGTGAACTATAGTGCTCACTATGCACATGAACAATAATATAGTACGAGAAATTAAATGGCATGGTCGCTGTATGAACATAGTCAATAAATATCCCATATCCTAACCAAAGTAATTCTCATGTACACACCTATAACAATAGACTGCTGCTTGTATGCCTTTCAGCGAACATAAATGGGGTGCCCAAACAGCAGGAGGCTCAACCGTCACAACACGCACCTAGTGCTTGGACAGGATATCCATCACCGGCCAGGGCACATTGCCAAGGTTTTACAGATGACGTGGTCCTTAGCAAAGGAAAAACGTGGAGATTACCCTTGCGGGGTACGTTCTATAGCTACGGGGATAAACGTTCGACGGGCGGTACAGCTCACATCGAAGATTACATGCTCACATGCATACATTGATCATACCCACATAAATAAAGCATTTATCATTCAAGGCATAGAAAAATTTTGAATAACCCACCTGGATATCGATATATAGCCAAACAAAGGGTTGAAGGAATAATGGCAAAATACGACAAGTAATGGAACGTAGGTCGAGGCTCGACTCCTCAAACACCTACATTTAAGCGAGATAATATATATCAATAATCTATCTCACTACTCAGGTTTAACATAAAACACATATTTAATAGAAATTAAGATTTAAGGATTTTAATCGGATTTTTCGTGGACTTGGAACTCTCTAATTTTTGAAAAATATGACACGGAGAACTAAATTGGGGTCTCAGGACTTAAAATAATTTTTCCCAAAATTTATATCATTTTAGAAATATTTTTAAAGTTAAAATCGGTATGAAAAACGGGTTCCGGAACACAAAAATTTGGTAAAAAGCTGAATTGGGCTGTGATGGAAATTCTGCCACGAAATGGGCCAAAATTGAACAAGAAATGGGTCGCAATCTAATCTGCTAACAAGCTACAGAGCGCGCGGGCTAGGGATCGGGCTTGAGGGACTGGACGCGGGCCTCCCGTGCTGACTCAATGTCGGGACGCGCGCCGGCCTAATGCGGGCTTCTCAGCCCGCGCTGCTTCAAAGAACAACAAAAATAAAACTGGCTACCAGCAGACTCGAACCCAAGACCTCATTAGTGGAATGAGAATACAACACCACTGCGCCACTTGCTTCGTTGAAATTGAAAATGAAAACTTCCTACTAAATCCGACCTAATGGAAAACTGAACAGAAACGCAGACAGAAGAAGAAAATCAAACAGTGCTGCAACACAAGTTCCCTAATGAACGAATTTCAACAGCAATTTCACGAGGGGGGGTTCGAACATTTATAACAAGTTCCCTAATGAACGAATTTCAACAACAATTTCACGAGGGGGGTTCGAACATTTATAACATTATCGAACATAACATTTTAGCAGAGTTCAAAAAGTATTTTAACAAAAGTTTTGGCTCAAAAACAGAACAACCAAAAATAAATGCAAAATGAACGACGGGGGCTCGAACGACCCGAAGAACCTAACGACGGCTCGAAATAACAAAACGAGTCTCCGAAATTAAACGAATTTATCATGACAACATAACGATACTCACTTTACGTAATCGAGAGTTCCAACCATCCCCGAAAAATTCACGAACGTACGAAATAAATAACGAACATCAAAGCGATAATTAAACCGAACTCGAAAACCAACAAAATGATTTAACAAACAAAAATAACCAACGATATAATCCCGATTAACAATCAACGAGAGAGTTTTGGGAGGTTACCGTTTTCGGGAATCTACGAGTTTTTCTGAAAACCAATCGAACGAACGGATTGGACGGGATGAACGGACAACGGGACTCCGATTTCTCGAACCGGTGCTGCTTGCGAACGACCTGACCACATACAGAGGATACTTGCGACCTGCTGTTGCGCGACGGCTCGAGGTCTGGCGGAAGCTGATCGTGGTTGATGACACGGCTGCTCCACAGGGATAATCTCACCGGAAAAGGATGTTGGTCGGGTCTGCTGGCGTCTCGCGAATGGAATCGCAGGGTCTGACGGACTTTTGCTCGAGGTCGGACTGGCCGCTACTCGTCGGAACTGTTCACGAGCGAGAGATGGAGGTTGACGGCGGTTGCTCGGTGGTCGGCGATGGCAGGGAAAGCTCGTCGGGGAAAAAGGTACAGACGGCGATGATTTCTCTATCTCTCTCAACCCACGATTTGATGTCAAGGGGAGTCTCTCTCTCGGTCGAGATTTAAGAGATGATCAAGAGATATTATCGAGTGAACGTTGGAGAAGAAATCACAACTAATCTGTGAGTTAGTCGTCCGCGTGCAACGTGAAGAAAAGTAAAGGCTTGTAGATTTTTTTTTTATTTTTTTTACGGGCCAAGAAGAAAGAAAAATGAAGGGTCAAATGGCCAAGGGAATAAATAGCTCAATTGGGGTGGAATACAATAGCATAGGTCTAGACATGAATTAACCATGATGGGCTGAAATTAAAATGATATAAAGGCTAAGAAGTTATTCTTATTGGACTAAAGAATTACAACGCGCTTAAATCGAAAGTTTACGGACAATTCGACACGAAGAAATAATAAATAAATATATATATATATATATATATATATCACACAATATTTATTTAATAATAATAAGCAATTATAACACTTAGACAAATAATAGGAATAATAATAATAACAAAATTAGCAATTAGGCATCTAATAATAACGAGTAATAATAATATAAATGGTAAATAAAAATCTCAAATATTTTACAAATAAACGTGGCATTACATTAGCATTAGTTCTCATGTTCGAACAAGCACCTGGAACCACAGAAAAATGGAAGATCTTTAATTATTTTATTTCCTTACTTAAGTTTATTTTGTATTCCATATATAAGATTGTGTGGATCTTATTATGGTATTTTATGTTATAGGAAATTGGACTTGGGAGAAACAAAGAAAGAAGAGGCGTGCATGTTAAGGAGATCAAGGAGAGAGAATAAAAGATTCACTTACCAAACATGTGCTACATACATGGAAGGAAATCATACAAGGAGTCCTATGTCTTGGAGAAGACTCTAACCTAAGGAGATCATATAAATACCCTACGAGAAGCTCTTATTACAACTGTTGATATTAGAGATAATTTTAGAGTAATACTCGAGCTTGTCATATTTTGTTCTATTCAATTTTGTACACAATTCAGTTATAGGGTTCTTACGTATCCAATAACTGAAGCTGGTTTAGTTTGTTTTTGTTAATTTTCCTCAAACTATCTTTTGTTTTTTACACTTATGGAGTAAGTGTAGGTTGAAAAGTCCACGGGATGTGGGCGGAGAAATAGTTGATGGGATCGTGAATAGTGTTGGCTAGACTAGAAGGGAGTTCGAGTCTTGTAAGTCCAAACTATGTCTTTATACAATTTATCAATGAAAGAGCTCTGAGGAGAAGTGGGATGTTTCTCTGAAGAGTTTTTAATCTTCAGTTTATAGCTTCCGCATTTTACAATTCTTACTCTAGCTCGTACGTGGTTTAGCGCACTCCGGATCAAATATACATTTCAGTTCTATTCTCGTGATAGTTCGCTTCAGCTTCATGCTTATTCGGACTCTACTTGGGCGAATAATCTAATAGATCGTCGTTCTGTCACTGGTTATTGCATTTTTCTTGGTTCTTCTCCTCTTACGTGGAAGTCCAAGAACCAGGTTGCTGCATCACGCTCTAGCACAGAGGCAGAGCTTCGAGCACTTGCCTCTTCCACTTCAGAGATTATATGGCTTCGGTGGTTGTTGGCTGATTTTGGTAATTCATGTTATGGTCCGCCACCTCTTCTTTGTGATAATATTGGAGCTATACAAATTGCCAATGATCCTGTGAAGCATGAGCTTACAAAACACATTAGGGTTGATGCTTCATTTACCCGATCTCATTGCCATCACAAAACAATTGTTCTTCAGTATGTGCCTTCCGAACTGCAAGTGGCAGATTTTTTTACCAAAACACAAACTAGAGAACAACATCAGCTTCAATTGCTCAAACTTAATGCTTCAGATCCTCCACCTCCACCTCCACCTTCAGTTTGAAGGGGAGGTGTTAAGTATATCATGGCCCATGCCCATTATCAACTCTATATATGGCCCTTGTTGGAACCCACGAGGATCTCGATATGCACAAATCACAGACAAACATTCAACATAAACCTATGCGCAGCGGATCTAAAGGTTTGATGAAGAAAACTTAC